GGTTTTGCAACACTGATTTGCTAAGAAGGCTTACGCGCGAGCTCTGGCGAAATCTTAAGAAAACCATCGGTTTTTCAAGATGTAAAAAAATTCTACCAAACGGGCTTCGCGCGCGCGCATGTCGAAATCTGTCGAACGCCCTTGCGCGTGTGCCGTCACGAGAATCCTTTGCAAAAAATGGGACGAAGTGCAGACGCGCGCGTCGTCGCGCGCGTATGCCGAAAACCGTCAAAATCCATCGGTTTCGGAAGGATTTCAAAATCTTGTGTCCAAAAAACCTACAAAACATTAGGTTTCGCAGCACGGATTTTCAACAAAAGCGTGCGCGCGCGCTCTTGCGTCGTCGTCGTCGTCATCGTCGTCGTCGCCGTCCTCCCTCCTTCCGCGTCGTCGTCGTCGTCGTCGTCGCCTACGTCGTCCTCTGTCTTTCCTCGTGTTCGTCGTCGTCGTCCTCTTTGGCGTCGTGATCGTTTCCGTCGTCGTTGTCGCCGTGGTCGTCCTTCCTCCTCCTCCCTCGTCGTCGTCCGTCGTCGGCGTCTCGTCGTCATCCCTCTATTTCGTCGCCGTCGTCGTCGTCGTCTTCCCTCCTCCCTCGTCGTTGTCGTCGTCGGCGTCACCGTCCTCCCTCCTTCGTCGTTCGCGTCGTCACCGTCCTCCCTCCTCCCTCGTCGTTGTCGTCGTTGTCGCCGTCGTCGTCCTCCCTCCTCCCTCGTCGTCGTCGTCGTCGTCGTCGTCGTCTTCGTTGGCGGCGTCGTTGTCGTCGTCGTCGTTGTCTTCGTCGTCGTCGGCGTCGTCGTCGTCGGCGTCGTCGTCGTCGGCGTTGTCATCGTCGTCGTCGTCGGCTTCGTCGTCGTCGGCGTCGGTGTCGTCGTCGTCCTCGTCGTTGTCGTCGTCGAAGTCGTTGGAGACGTCGTCGGTGTCGTCGTAGTCGGTGTCGGCGGCGCCGCCGTCGTCGTTGTCGCTGTCGTCGTCGGCGTCGGTGTCGTGGCCAAGTGCCATGTGGTACCTACGGTCACGGTCTTGTCTCAAGAGGTCTTGCGACCAAGTTGCGGGTGGGAGGGTGGGATGTTTGCACGAGCAGTGGAGAGGTCAGCTTCAAGACGGTCAAAGTGGATTGCACCCCATACAACTCTCCTCAAACCGCCTCCTCGCCTCCAGGATGGTGGAACACTGCCAGCCTCGAACTCATTCCTATCCCAAGGATCGACCAGCCCGACTGGATGGTCAATCTTAGGAATGTCACCTCAGAAACCCGGGAGTACCCTCAAGATCGGCACCGAGCCAAAGTGGTGTTAATCACAGAGGTGGGGATACACTTGAGTCTGATAAGAGGAGGATGAGGAGGAGGAGGAGGAGGAGGAGGAGGAGGAGGAGGAGGAGGAGGAGGAGGAGGAGGAGGAGGAGGAGGAGGAGGAGGGGGGAGGAGGAGGAGGCGGAGGCGGAGGCGGAGGCGGAGGAGGAGGAGGAGGAGGAGGAGGAGGAGGAGGACGACGAGGCGGAGGAGGAGGAGGAGGAGGAGGACGAGGAGGAGGAGGAGGAGGAGGCTCAAAGGGCTGGTTTAAGCGTCGAATTTCCCAACGGTCGGCCAGGTGCCCCGCAGGGGGGGGGGGGGAGCGCCGCAGCGCCGCAGTATTTCTTATACACATGTTGCTTGACTGATGGAGGTCGACGTTGTGCGCTGCCGTGGCGCAAGCTGTCATGCGATCGCGAGGGCTTGGTGAGCGACGTGGATGAGGACGCGGAGTAGGAGGACGTGATGGTGCAGGAGGGGATCGCGGCGGCTGCAGCCGCGCCTTGGCGGTGCGCTTTGCGCCGCTGCAGGAGCACCGCAGGCACAGCTGCTGCCGCCGCTTCGCCGCCCGCGCCGCCTGCCGCTGCCTCCAGGGCGCCCGGTGCAGGCTCCCGACGCCGAGGATGGCGCGCCCGTCCACGACGTCCCGCCACGCCACCCCGCGGCCGCCGAGGCGCGGGATCTGCTTGGCCCGTTTTGGTGGGCCCAGTTTGATTTGCACGCAGCCCTCACGTAGCCAGCGCCGACTCGGGCCGCCACCCCGCCGAGCCTGGACACGGCCGTCGGTGACATCTTGGCCGCCGCGTGTCGGGCAGTTCGGCCGGGCGACAGGCGACGAGGGTTCTGGGGCAGCTCCTCAATGCTCCCGCGGCTGCGCTTTTCCGTTCCGCCGCGCCATGCGGCAAAGATGGTGGCGAACCGCTTGCGCAAATGGGCGGGTGATTGGGCCACATGGTGGGCCGAGATTGCGCGCCCAGACGAGCAGGAAACTGGCGGCGCAGCCGCGGCGCAGCATGGAAGCCCAGGCTCTCCGCGTGCACGAGCTGATCATGCGGGTGATGTCAGCCACGCGTCCGCGGCAGCTGCCGGCCAAACAAGCTGGCTACAGGCGTTGAAGAGGCGAACCACCTGGCCCAGCTGTTCCCTGCGGCGCCCGCTCCTCGTGGCCCTCCGCCACAGGTGGCTCCGATGGCGCGGGGAGGGGGGGTGGCAACCAAGGCCTCGGAAACCTTGAATAGGTTCCCGAGGCACCCTGGGCCAGCCCAGGAATGGTGTTCGAGCACTGTGCGACGCTGCGCGGGCGCCCAGATGTGCCACAGGTTGCCGCGCAGGTCTTGAAGATGATCCTTCGCGGTCGGATGGCAGAGCGATCGGCCCGGGCCATGCGATGAAGGGAGGCTTTTGCTCTTGCGCAAGCCGCCCGCGAGCGTGTGCCCACTGGCGCGTGGCGAGACCCTCTGGCGCATGGCGGGCAAGGCTGCCACCAACGCCCACACAGCGGCCTGAAAGAACGGCATTCAGATCATGCGGCGGGTGGTCGCCCGCGCCGCGGGGGAGTCGCCAGCCAGCGCCTTGCCCAAGCTCTCCGCCCCAAGCTGCCGAGTGCTCTGGGGCGCGGCGGAGCGGGCTGGCCACGCGCTCGGGCTCGGCGCTGGTGAGTGGCACTGGGCCGCTGTGGAGCTGAAACGCAAGGCGCAGGAGGCGCTCGCCCACTCCAGACGGGGCAAAAGCTGGCGGCTCTTGGCGGGGGGTGCCGCTGGAACAGGCTGCCCAGCTGCGCTTGGCAAGCGGGAAATGCGTCGGCAGGTGGCCCCCCTCACCAACGCAAGACGACCACACCCTGGCGGACGAGAACTACCTGCCCCGTTGACTCCCGCGCTACCTGCCAGCGCTGGCGCGCCGACAGGCGACTGCGGAGCAGACCTCGCGCAGCCCACGGCTCGCCCCCTGGACTGCCATGCCGGCGCGGGCACGATGCCGCGCCGCAGCGGCATCCGCGATTGCTTCGCGCGCTGGCTCATGGAGCTCGGATCGAAGGGCGTGGGCGCCGAGCAGATCTTCCCAGCTTTGGACACGACCCGCCCGGACGGCCGCCTAGAAGCGGCGCGCTTGGGCGTGACTCGCGTGGGCCCCGTGTCGGGCGCCGCGCGCGTGGACGCCGTGGTGACGGACGCCGCAGCCGGGGCCGCGACGCCAGCGGGGCAAGGCCAGGCAGGGCGCAGCGATGCCGCGGTGGCTGCGGCGGAGGAGCGCAAGCGCCGCCGCTGCCCTGGCGCGGCGCTGTGCGCGTTCGCGCTGGAGACGTCGGGCTGGCCAGGGCGCGAGGCGGAGGACATCTTGCGCACCTGGGGAGCGGCTGGCGACGCGCAGGTGCTCTCGGCGGCGCGCCAGAGCTTCGCCGCCACCCTGCAGAGGACCAACGCCGAGGCGCACAACACCTTGGCGTGGCCGCCAGGGCGGCGCGCCCTGCCGAGGTTCCCAGCGGCTGACCGACGGGTCCCCTAAACCCGTTCCTGGCCCATTCCTCCCTCTCTCTTCATCTCTTCCTCCCCCGCTCCTTGCCGCTGGCGGGCGCGCGCGTGCCTGCGAAGGGGGGTCTGGTGGCTCGCGCCCTTGCGCCGCGCGTCCGTCTCATCCGCTTTCTGGTTTCTTACTGCTCCTCCCCCTTCCCCCTGGTTTGCTTGGGGCCTGCTCCAAACGGAGGCCAGGCTGAGCGCGGGCTCGGGCACGCAGTGGCGGAAGTGGCACTTGCGCCGTGGCGCCACCCGCCTCTGTCCAAGTCGCGCCCCGTGGGCCGACATCGACAGGAGGCTGGCCCAGGGCGGCGGCGGAGCCCACAGGCGGCCAGGCTTCGGGAGTACCCCGTAGAGCCGCCGGGGCCGCCATGGCCGCGGGCGGCGAGCGAGGACCAGGAAAAGGAGTAGGAAGGGTTGGGGGGCGAGGACGAGGACGAGAGGAGGAGGAGGAGGACGATGGCGCGTGTAAGCCCAAGACTCATCAACAATAGTGCAGTCAACGCTCTTTCCAAGTTCCTTTTTTCACCGGCCCTTTCAAGGTTTCATGTCCGCGCCCATTCTCATTCAGGGAAGTGCCCCGTTTGAAGACAACTGTTTGCAAAATCTTGAGTTCTGCCAGATCACCATTCCTGGGGTTTCAACGCCGCGAATCAACCTTAATGTTACGTCTTGACCATCCGGAACTATGCAAGAACGCCGCGTCAGCCAGAACATCGTGCCAAAACACAACACATCAACGTAATTGGCACCCTGGCGGTCCGACATCGCCAAACAGAGTTCTGGGGACGCTAACCATGATGATTTTTAGAACCGCTGTTAACGCTGAAAACGAATGCGCGCGGCGCTGAAACGAGAAGCATACTATGAAAAACACGCCCTCGATTCGTAACGTTCTAATGTTTTTGTTACACGAATGTGCGCGGCGCTCAGGCGAGAACACCATTTTGAGTTCGGCCCGCCCGCCACCCGTGATTTCTTGCATGTTTGAAACATGCGCGCGGCGCTACAGCGATAACCACGAAGCCCTTGCAGCACTTCAGCAACATATTTGTGCGAGGCGCTGCGGCGAAAACTACACTTTGGAAACGGCCCGCCCTCCACGCCTCGGGCCTCGACAAGGAGGAATGATCGATAGGGAAAGGCAGAGCACGTAGGCCATCCCGCACGGCGGGAGCCGCCCGCGCGGCCGAAAGGTGAGAGAGTTCCGGGCCATCTTCAACAGTTTCGACGCCGACGCGTCGGGCAACATGTCCTACCTGGAGCTGAAGGCTCGTGGGCTGTGGCCGAGGGCGGAGGAGGGCGGCAGTCCGGGAAGGGCGAGATGAGACAACGGAGGGCGGCTTTCGGGGACCCTCGTCGCCACGGCCAGACGCGGCTCGGACAGGTCTTGCTTTTGGACCCCAGGAGGCCGATTGTGAGGTGCCGTCGTCTCAACTCGCCCTGGTGGCAGGACGAAGGAGGATCCGAGGCAGGAGGAGGTGGATGAGGAGGCGGAGGACGAGGACGAGGAGGTGGAGGAGGTGGAGGGGCAGGATGAGCCACTGAACCCGGCTGTTCTCTAATACTTTCGAGGCGTCTGGGATGCTTTCGCCAGTTTCTGGATGGTTTTGAGATGTATCGATGGGGTGCCGTGGCATGGCGGAGGTATCACGGTGTGTTGCATGGTCCTCGGTAGGCCTCGTGGCAAGGCAATCTGGGTCCCGGACATCCGAGGATGCGTTTCTTTTGCAGGGACGTCGAATTTCTATGGTTTGCGGCCGCTTGACTTAAGTCGGCCTGTCCCTCTATAGGGGGAATCTTCAACAATAGTAGTAACAAAAACAGTATGGAAACGATGTGTTGACCATTTTGGAGTATGTTTGGTGCATCTTTGACTCTTTTCATTTTTCCTCCAAAATCCGCCCGTCGGGGGAACACGCCCGACTTAACGCTTGACTCAAGCAGCGTGTCAATCGACTGGGGGGCGCTTCGGAGGCGCACCGAGGCACTGCAGCAGGCGCGGCGGGAGGAGGGAGGAGGGCGCGAGGGGAGGGGAGACCGCGCTCGGGACGTGCAGTCTTCGTGTGCGAGCTCCGGAGGGGGAGCGCCGACACGGGGTTCCGCGCCGACGGGGGCATCCAGACCCAAAAGTCGTGCAGGGGATCGACTACAGAGTTGATTTACCCCAGAACTGATTTTCTCGTCGAGCACATGAGAGGAATGAGTAGAGAAGGTCAGCCGCTCTGCGGAGCATGGTACGTACGGATCGTAGTGCCGACGGGAAAACAATTTTGGGGTAAATCGATGATGTAGTCGATCCCCTACTCGAAAAAAGGAGTCCAGCGACAAAAGGGTAGTGCAATAGATTTGGTGCAAGAGATTTGTAGGGTTGCAATCGATTTGGGGCGTGCAATGCATTCCGGGGCGCAGATGTATTGCTGGGTGTTCGTGGGCAATGCATTCGTTGCAATACAAGGCAATGCAGTTCTCTGGCGCAATATATTTGCAATACAATTGCCCCAAATCTACTGCACCACCCCCTTTCAGCTGGACCCCCTTTGGGTCGCAAGGAAGTGCTCTCCGATCCTCTCTGGCTCACCCGGGCTTGGGAGCCACGTGGAGCCGATGCCCCCCTTCCCTCGGCCCGCCTGGATCCGTGAGCTGACCCCAGATTGGCGCGTCCCCGACGTTTGTCGAGAGGCATTTTTGCATCAGGCTCGGGCAGGTCTGCTCGCGTGGAGGGGGCGATCGCGCTCGTGGGGGGGTGCGGGGGGGGGGGCGGCGATCAGGCGCACACATGCACGCACGCACACGCACACGCACACGCACACGCACACGCACACGCACACGCACACGCACACGCACACGCACACGCACACGCACACACGCACGCACACGCACACACATACACACAGTCACACACACACACGCACACACACACACACACACACGCACACGCACACGCACACGCACACGCACCACACACGCACACACACACACACACACACACACACACACGCACGCACGCACACACACACACACACACACACACACACACACACAAACACACACTTTTTGCGTCGTTGGCTGGGCAGAAGGTGACTGCCCCGGCGGAATGGCAACAGGGGACACGCTGCATGCAAATTAGGGCCGCAGTTCACGGAGGAGACAAACACACACACACAAACAAGCACACACACACACTTGCGCACGCACGCACACACACACAGTCACACACAGACAGACACACACACACACACACACACACGCACGCACGCACACGCACGCACGCACACACACACACACACACACACACACGCACACACACACACACTTCTCCCCATGGGGGATGCCCGATCGCGTTTTGTTTGGGGGGGGGGGGGCGATCGGGCACACACCGTTCCCCATGGGGTATGCCCGATCGCGCTCGGGGGGGAGAGGGGGGCAAGGACATGAGATTCAGGTGATCGCAAACATGGATCAAAGGGCCGTGGGTTAGCGACGGGTCCCGTTTCCAAGGGAAATCGCGGATTCCCGCCGCCGAGCGAGGCGGCACCGGCCGCATTCCGGGGAGGGCACCTCCCCCGGGTCCATAGATTTGGCGACCGCGCGCAAAATCCATGGATCGCTAATCCATGTTTGCGCGCCCCTGAATGAGATGACCTGGAGTGAAAGCTGGACTTCACGCAAGCCGGGACTCCCCTGCACGCCTTTACGGCCCAGCGTTGTTTGGAAGGGCAGGCGGCAGAAAGCCGTTTTCCGTGGGTGAAATGGCATGCAAGCAGAGTACCCTGAGTCCAGGGTATAAGGACTTCCAATTCGCGTCCCCAGAGTTTTCCCGACCCCTTCCCCCAAGGTTAGCTTGTCGCCCAAGGTCCGCTTATTATGGCCCCAGGACCAGGAAATGGACGGACCGAGATGAAGGAATACCCCCCGGAATTTAAAGAACATTTCTTCGGGATCTTGAGGAGTTGTACCTCCCTGTGTTTGGAGCAGCACGGCCTTCCGTCCCGAATGGCATTATGGACGGTCCCTGCACTCGAACGTTGTTTATAGACGCCGAGACGGCGGCAAAACTCTGCCTTGATCTCAAGACGCTGGAGGTCTGATGCTGATTCGACCGAGCCAGTACCTCTAGGCCTCCCAAATGGGGACGGGGTCGGAGGATCGCGCCGCATCGCCGATGCATCGGCCATGCGGCTCGATGCGGATCCCGATTTTCGCCACGCTGACGGCGGCGACGAATCGCCGAGGCATCGCCGATGCATCGGCGATGCGGCGCGATCCTCCGACCCCGTCTGCTCCGACGCCATGTGGGAGGCCACTGGTACCGTTCCCATCCGACGCCGCAACCTTTACGTGCCGTGGGCCCCCCGGGGCCTCGATCCCTTGATCGCGGCCGTCCTCTCCGCGCCGTTTCCTGACGGCTTTGGCGGCAGGGAGACGGCCTCTCCGCAGCCTGGGGGCCTCGAGAGCCGGCCGTCGCTGTAATTTCGGGTGTTGCCAGAAGTGCCCTTGGCCCAGGGTGCCCCCCCAGGTTTGCCAGGGAGGCCCCCACTGCCTCCAGAGCACCCCTCCAGAGGCCCAGGGGGCCCAGGGGCTCCAACATAGAGCGAGAAGCTGGGGGCACCTTGGGCCAGGGGCACCTCTGGCCCTTCCCGAGAATTTCCGCGCGACTCCCAGATCCAAGGGATTGCCCACCCCGCCGCCATGCTTGCAGGGCAGATGGCAAGGAAGACAGACTGCCTCTTCCAGGGCCAGGGGGGGCGTCCAGACGCGAGGACATACCGCGCAGAGATTATGTTTGCAGATTGACGTGTGATGTTTGCGGCTATCAGGCTATCACGACGACGACGGCGACGACGACGACGACGACGCTGACGACGACGACGACGATCTTTCCCCTCTGCTTAGCATGGCGCTCTGCTGGTTCTGGCCCACCACGCCTCGGCGCAACACGCTATCCGAGTCCTCAGGTCCGAATTTCCACATCCCGAGCTGTTTCCAGTCTGCTGCCCCGTGCACCGGAGCGACACGCTATCCGCTCGCAGGGCATGGCGGTCGCTGAGGCCGCCGCCCCGACACGCTGAGCAAAAGTTCCAGACCGTGATGCCAAGGCACCTTGACGGGGGCAGCATGAGCAGGCGAGACCAGCTAAAAGGGGTGGAAACATCGAGCTGGATATGGCGATGCATCGCCGATGGATTGGCGACATCCCCCCGTAGCGAGTCCACATGTTCCCGAACGGGCGGACTATCGGGCCCCAGTCTGCGGTGCACCGCCGACTTCAGTGTCGTTCGGGTCGTAACTTGGCTCTCTGGCGGCCGTTCGGAACGATCAAGGTCTCTTGGCAGTCCCTGGAAGCGGCGATGGCCCAGAGCAAGAGGATCACCAAGAACCTTACACCACGGCGCTGTCCATGTTCCGAGCGGGTTTCAGTTGATATGCGCTGGAGCCGTCTTTGGGTCTGAGGTGGTCAAGCACTGGCCCCAGCGAGCAGGAAGGGGGGACGAGGTGCGAGGCGTTGGGCTCGATACGGCCTTCGGTGGCCGTTTTCGGGCCCCGTGACCGTCAGAAGCGGATCCAGGGTAAGAAACTGCACCAGATGGACCCAGGGTGGGGTCTGGGGACAGATGTTGATTGGATTTGCCCTTATCCCGCCGTCTGGACCGATGCCCTCGGGACCCATCCAGTCCAGACCCCCCGGCCGCCTCCATGACTTGCACAGCGCGCTCAAAGCGCCGCGCCGAGGGCCTCCTCGGCGGCCTGGTGCACATCGACGAGGGCTCGGGCACCGCGGGCGCGCTGCGCGCTGCCCTGGCGGCGGTGGACGAGGACGGGAACAGGGAGCTGTCCTTCCCAGAGTTCCTGAGGCTCCTCCCTTTTCCCCCCCTCCCTCCCTGCGTATCTTCGTCCCTCCCTCCTCCATGCCCCTCCTCCCTCCCGGTCTAAGTATATTTCTCGTTGTTTTTTTTTGTTTTGTTTTTTTCTCTCTCTCTCTCTCTCTCTCTCTCTCTCTTTTTCCCCACCTAGGCTCTGCCTAGAAGGGTTCTTACTCTTTTTGCTTCAAGGGGCCGGTCAGTGTAATGCGCCCCGGGCGGTTCCCCCGGTCCCCTGGGAGCCAAGCAAAAGCAACAGCAAAGGTAAAAGCAAACGCGCGGTTCCCCCAGTTGCGCTCCCTGGGTACCAAGCAAGAGCAAAAGTGAAGGCATACGCGAAGGCAAAGCAAAAGCATAGCATAGCATAGCAGAGCATATAATAGCATAGCATAGCGCAGCATAGCATAGCGCAGCATAGCATAGCATAGCCTAGCCTAGCCCAGCATAGCATAGCATTGCGCAGCATAGCATAGCATAGTGCATAGCATAGCAGAGCAGAGCAGAGCAGAGCAGAGCAGAGCATAGCATAGGGATGTAAAGAACTCCGCAGTGCCCCGCCCTCATCTCCGTGCCTGCTTGCTTTTGCTGCTGTCTGGGCGACTTGCTGCCTGCTTCTGCTGCTGCTTCACTTACGGCGTGGCGTCGGCGGTTCTGGCGCTACTACTACTACTACTACTACTACTACGACTACTACTACTACTACTACGACTACGACTACTACTACTACTACTACTACTACTACTACTACTAACTACTACTACTACTACTACTACTACTACTACTACTACTACTACTACTACTACTACTACTACTACTACTACTACTACTACTACTACTACTACTACTACTACTACTACTACTACTACTACTGCTGGTACTACTACTACTACTACTACTACTACCACTACTACTACTACTACTACTACTACTACTACTACTACTACTACTACTACTACTACCATCACCACCACCACTACTACTACTACTACCACGACGACTACTACTACTACTACTACTACTACTACTACTACTACTACTACTACTGCTGGTACTACTACTACTACTACTACTACTACTACTACTACTACTACTACTACTACTACTACCGCGACTGCTACAACTACGACGATGAGGAAAAAAGCTGGAGGACGGCGTTTACCGCTCCTACTAATGTTGCTTTCCTAGAGGCTCCAATTCCTAGGTAGGGTCGCAATGGGATAATTTGTCCAGTTTCGGTCTGGGAGATTTGACCAGAGCGAGCCCGGACGCCAAACGCCCCGCATCCGTTCTTGCCCCGCGAGATCGGACACGGCCCCCTCCAGGCCGTGGCTGATTGGCGTCACATCCATTCAGCCCCGCGCGCGTGACATGGTTCCGAAAGGCCTTTGCCGTGCGTCCCCGTGCACCTCGGCAGCCCAAGCCACCAGGCAAGGGCCGTTAAAAGGCATTTCTATGTGATAACAGTCTGTCCCGAAAGGAGGCCTGCGTCGCCGTACTCCGGAGCAGAAGTGGCGTCGACCAAGCAGTCGCTGCAGACAGCGAAGCTGTTCACCAACATCACGCGGATCCCGATACTGTCTACCAAAATCGCCGCTCCGACCAACGAAACTTCAGGGGCGAACTAGTGATACTGTGCGGGGAAATCCAGATCAGCGACACCATGCGGATTTATTTCCTCACGCACAACGAGGGCCCAGACCGTGATCCAGCCTGGATGCACAGAGCTGGGACGTCCCTGTAACCACCACGCCCGAAAAAAAGGCGACGGGACGCCGTGCACCAGTCGCATCTCGACCCGCACGCGAGAGCCGCTAGAGGAAGCCGGCCGCGTGCTACACGAGGCAAACCTGTAGCGTTCGTGGTCTTGGGAGTTATCAGCACCGATACCCAGGACGCGAGATTCTCAGCCCAGTCCTCCGCCGTACGGCCAAGACTACCAAGCCTACATCAGGACACATTCAAGGGGCCATCTACTGGCCCGGGCGGGACGAGGTAAAATGCTCCCAACACGTCGTTCAAGTCGTAGCCGACCCAGTTGACAACGTACACTGGATCCGCGCCGCTACTTGTGAGGCTGACGCTGTTGCGAGTGCACCCACGCTCGAGGAATTGTTCGCGACGCAATTCTCAGGTGCTGTACCCAGTAACGGCAGCCGCTTCCCAGGCGGACCAGGCATGACATGACAAAGGCGAGGGGCCGCCGTAAGTCAGTCAAAACACACGGCTCTTGCTAACAACGTGATTACGACTTCGCGGGCGGTTTTGCCGCCGTGTTTTCGTCCCACCCCCGCACTGTCCATGCGCCAGAAGCTATGAAGTTCCTAGGGCGCCACGGCGCAGCAGTCGGACATCACAGACTCACGGCCACCTCCGGCAGTGAGCCAGCCAGCGCTCCACTGGTCCCCTCTACCTCTGGGCCAGGAGGCATCCAGTTCGTCATCAGTTACCGCGGCTCCAAAGGGCCCCCGCCCAGCGACTGCATCGCTGCGCGGTGCTCTAAGATGGTCACCAGACTATGCTACAGAGGCGTGCAACACCCCAACGAAGCTCAAAGGTCACGGTGATGTCCGAGCGGACAAATGAGCTGGGCACCCGGGTCAAGATTGACAACCAGCAAGCGAAGCCATTCGCTCTCGACTTGCGGGGAACTGGCGCCGCGCCTGCTAACGCAAAGTGCGGCATCACTAGGACTGAGCCTCACAGCTCCGCCAAGACGCACATTGCCACAGTCCTGTCGTCAAGTCAACGCACAGGGTGGGTCAGAATGGCCAGGGCCGATTACGCCATAGCCCGCGAGGCGGCACGGGCGACGACGCGGCGCAATCTCGGGATGCCCACCCAGCGCACGGGGGCACCCGCGAGGCGGCGCGGGCCAGATAAGAAACAAACCGCATACAGCTACGTCAGAGGTTTGCATTGTCCTTTGGGCATGGTTGGGGCCTTAGTGCGGCGTTGGGGAAAATTCTTCCGACGCGCGCACGGCCGACGCGCGCTACTGGCCCGCGCGCTGTTAATTGAGAAGGATCATGCGCCCCCCCCCCCCCCCAGCATGCGCGGAAGGGCCTTTCAACGATTTCGGCATGCAAGCGCGAGGGGCGCTCTTGGTCGCATGTGACGACAGTGGTGATACCTCTGGCTCCCTTCCGGATTCGCGCGGCCGGCTCGCGCGCATGCCGTTTTTGAGCAATGACGTTGCAACGCTATGTGTTGTTGCATGATTTCGGGGTGCTCGGGGTTGACATCCTTACGACAACCATTTAGCTGCAAGGATGTCTACATGCGCGGGCGACGGCGCTCGCTCGCGTGCACTTCGCCCCTTTGTTACAAAGGATTTATGCCGCGTGGTGGTATTTGAACCGCCCGCAACCAGAGGAGCCCACACGGGGTCCCCCAGGGGCCTATGCAGAGACAGGGGGCCCAGCGAGCTCGACGAGGGCGTTTGCCGCCCGCCTGACTTCAGTAAAATGACCCGACCATCCCTCCACATTGGGCGGCGGCGTGATCACTCGAGACGAGGTGCGCATGTGGTAAGCCATCACAATCGCTTCGATCGCCTCGACAGTCGGTGCCCCATCGAGGCCGATACGAACGAGAAGACTCGAGGGAGGGGCAACCGCAGGTGGGTCGGCCAGATCCCAGAGAACATCACATTGCAGGTAATGGGCGATTGAATCACGAGCAGGGATGAGCCGGCATTCGCGGCAACGAATCTGCAAGACATCTGCAACGAAGTCTGTCGAGTAGCGTTGAGTAGAGTAGAGTAGAGTAGAGTAGAGTAGAGTGGAGTGGAGTAGAGTAGAGTAGAGTAGAGTAGAGTAGGGCTGGGCCGATGCTTCTATTTGGAGTCACCACTTGCTGTTTTGTGTGTGTTGTTTTAGCCTTGCGGCGGCGATGGCTACCATCGAGCAGGCCCGCCTTGCGATTCTCGGACTCCACGTGGGCCTCAGGCGACTTCAGGGGCATCATCTTCGCGGAGTTCGGACCCGCGGACGCGCGTGACCAAACTGTCATCGCCCTCCGGGGTGCGGCGCCGCCCAACGGTGATATGAAGGTATGGTCGAGCGAAGATCGTTCGCCTGCGCAGCGGGCAGCTCGCAATTCCTGCTTCGGCTTCAAACGCGTCCTCAAGGAGCAGTTCGAGGTGCCCTGCTCGGTGTCTGTCTCGGACGAGGCGCCTCATCAGGTGACCGTCGGGGGCGAGCATGCACTGACAGCGATTGTCAACGATAACAATGCGGATTACCAGTGGCGCGAGGAGTGGGCAACATGAGAGGAGCTGCACTCCCATCCCCTCATCGAGGATCTCGCGGCGAAGTCGGCGGACCTGCTCCTCCGCGCAGGGAAAGGGATGAAAGGAGGAGCCAAGGGCGGGGTTAAGGCCGGGAGGCGCCCCGGATAATCGGAAACACCCAGCGAAGTTTCACTGGCAATGACAGTCGGCAATATTGCCACCAGATATGAGCCCAAATCGGTCTACAATTCGATCCACCTTTTCACGCACAAAATGTACATATGATATTGCGTGCACTTCGGAGACTCTTGGCTCCCAATGCCGTGGTTTTGGCCGTGGGGAAAGCGAAAGAGAAAGGCGCAGTTCGCGCCCATCCGGAAGCCTATCGTGGGGCAGGCCTCGGAAGTCCCCCAGCCCATGCTGCTTAAAACGCATTGGGTTTTGGAACGTTGAGGGTCTGCGAGGTGATTCCGTAATCAAGCTAACGGAGCCTCAGCGAGTAATAGAACAGCAGGAAATTGATATTTCATGCATTCAGGAGACGCACCTCCATGGAGCCGAATATTACGAGCAGGACGGCTTCCTCATATTTCTCTCTGGTGAACTGAACCTGGGAGAGCGTCTATGGGCGGGCGTTGGTTTCACAGTCTCGCCTTGGGTGCGCTCTGCCGTCGCGGCCTTCAAGGCCCATTGTGATCGCATGGCTACCTTTCGCATGCGACTGCGCGGGGGCATTTTGACGCTTCTGTCAGCTTGTGCCCCC